GTTTCATTAATTTTTTATGTTTGAAATATACTGTTTATTAATTTTATTGTAACAATATGCAAACATGGCAAATACCATTTAAGTACATAAACTGCAGTAAGAATTCATGAATCTTCTTTCAGAAGAAATAATATTAGTTTAGAAATGTATTTCTCTAAAATAGAGCTCCATTAAAAATATTGCTCTTTTTTATGTGATCAATTTAAATGCTAAAATTTTATAATGCTTTCTCGATTAAAATTCGCATTGCATAATCATTTTTAAACAACTACTTAAATATAATATAGTATTTATTATTCCAATTATCCCGTCACAGCTGTGTTAATTTTTTGTGTAGTTCAGATTTAAAAGCACAATAAATTCACTAACTATCTGCATAATCCAAATGTATTTTTATTGAAATAACGTTGAAATGGAAAACGAATTTTAATTCTTTTAATATCCTTAAACTACAGCATATTAAAATCTCCGCGAAAACAGTATATTTACTTTAGTGATAAAATATTTTAATTTACTTCGAACAAGCTTGAGCAGTCTAAAAAATGCTAGACGTAAGAAAGCGTTTATTTTGTCTTTTCACTTGTTTAAACTAAAACTTTGTTCTGAAAGCTCAATTTTATTTTGAGTGCCAGAAATACGAAGGCTTAGGCCAAAATTTGGATTTTATTTGAGTTTTTTTGCACTTTTATGAAACAAGAGTTTTAATTAAGTGTGCATGACTTTGATTGGTAAATCTTATTTTTCAACTTTCTTAAACCTTTCAAATAAGTACTTATCGTTTTTTTTCTTTTTATTTATCAGCTAATGAGCTTACTTATTTTTAAAACTGAAGTTAAAATATTTACGCTATGCTTCACAAAATAACAAGAACCTTAATATATATTAAAAAGTAAAATGTTTGATAAGCTTTTATGGCGTTTTAAGCAGTTAATTGTATTATAATATGGACAAAGTATTTTTTGAGGAATAAAGCCTTTTGTTGTTAACACTTTTGTCAAAGCTTATAAAAATATACTTTAAAATGTATGAAATTTTAAAAATTTGAAAGGTGTTCTTCTTAAATTATTTTCTGAACAAATGTACTAAGTATCACTCAAATATTTCAATTTGAATTTTATGCAATTTTGTCTGAGGAATTCTTTTAAGTTAGTATTTTCCTATTTTTATGACAAAAATTTGAAATAAGCTCTCAGTTATTCATTCAAAAATTACATATTCCTTAAATTTTTTGCTGAAAGGAAAATTTTGTTTGAAGGATTGGATTTTAATTAGTTTTCCTTTCTCTGTTTATTTAGTGAATGAGTATCCTAAATGAAACAATTTAATATTCAATGTTAGAATTTTCATTCTAAAACTACGGTAAAATAACCGACAGCAGTCTGTCCATCCAATTAACCGTTATGGTAAAGACCATTTTTACCTAAACAGTTTTAAAACCGTTTACAACTAGAATAGTTAAGAAACCGTGAATACAAAACTATATGGTTTTAGTTAGCAGGGTTTCAAAGTGCAAAAAAGAAATTTAATTAGACATTGGAGCTAAGCTTTTTGCTAGATAATAGACGTTGGAGTTATGCTGTGTTATATCAACTGAACCATGGAATGTGGTTTAATTAGTTTATCTGGTTTTTTCACCTATCGTAAGAAATGTTAACTACATGACTTTTTGTCTTAAGTAGATATACGGTGCTACCATCTATACGTGAATGAGAATATTGTATTCTAATAGTCCAGGGTCACAAACTGGAGGGTGCAGGACGCTGAAAACAATTCATAGAAGGGAATGAAGAAAATAGTGTGGTGACAACACTGGGACATGATCCCACGTTCTGTCTGTCGGTCATGAGATTGGCAGATTAGCCCACTCGGGCATTTTGTATACCAAGCTACAAGGAACTAACTGGCTTCATTAGATGGGTCTAGATAAAATTAGATTCGATAAAATTTTGATTGCTTAACCGTATTAATTTAATGCAGTTAATAAATGGTTATTTAACCCTTTTTCCAAGAAATTTCTCAGAGTGCTTAACTGTGATATAACTCAAATTGTTATCCAAAATGAATAACTGTGATATAACTAAATTTGTAATCCACAATGAATATACAACTTTTTTATTTTCCGTTTCAAAAAGAATTCGAAGAATGCATGTTAAGAGTTACCTTTACGGAAGACGCTGTATATGGGTAATGAATCAAATAAGCAACATATGTTAATAAAACAAATTTTAAATGTTGAATTTGTAAAACAAAAATATTTAAAAAATCATAAAACTTTCAGTAAAGTGAAATATGTGCTAATATTAACATTTATTAAAATAGTTTGCATAATTAATAAAAAAAATAAAAAAACATTTCCCGTACACAAAATCAATTTTGCAATTTTTTCGTTCATATGGTAATAACTACCTGCAAATTCTAGTTTTCAAAATTAGAGTTCTCCTTTCAACCCATTCAGTGACAAAACAAACAAAATTGAAACGTATATTTGACCGAATAAATGGTTTTTATGCCATGCTCAAAGGTATCTTGAAAAAATTTCAAAATTTCACAACAAATACCAGATTTTATCACAGAATATAAAATTATATTTTCTGCTTAATTTTACCAACTCTACGGTAAAAATTATCGAGATTTTTAGTGTTCTCATTGAGACAGAAACATCTTAATTTCATCATATTCTGGTAGTTTTGACTACATGTTTTTTCTCAGATGCGTTTTCAAGCGTATTTCTACTGGCTCCTCTAACAGGTCAAATATTGATAAATTTGAACAAGTTTTTTTTTAATGGTAAATACACTTAGTATATGAATGAGTTCATTATATAGTCCCTTTATATATTTTCAAATACAAAATCATCTCAAATAACAAGAAATTTGTTTAGAACTGAATGCACCCATGTTGATTTTATTACATGTTAGTAACTTTAAAAATTTATCAACAGTTGTAGAAGTTTTCATAAGCGTCATCAATCTTATGTAAGTATATATTCCTTTAAAATAGAAAACTGAAACATGATAAGGACATAATATACAAAACACGTTCTGGTTATTTTTATGCATAAAGCTTTTTTTTTTATTAAAGCTTAAATATAATTATTAAAATACAAAGTTTAAATAAGTTTAAATAAGATAAATCTGGGAACTGCATGAAATAAAATAAATATACTTTGTTCAAAATTCTAAGAAATATAAAAATTAAAAATACTATTTTTTTTAGTTACATTGTAAAAACGGATATTTTTGAAAAATAATCGAAGAAAGATTAGCCCTTTAAGTGCATAAAAATCGTCACGTGAGGCATTCAAAAATTCAAGCCTTTGAAAAAGTGAAAACGGAATTTTCATAATTAATTTTTTTGTAAAATATCTATCTTGTAATTACCCCGTATAATTTTTTACCATTCTTTTTTTAGGCAAGATAGTTTCAAAATTTTCAATTAAAATTAACCTATGCTTATACCTTTAAGTTACTTTTTCATCTTTAGTTTGCTTTTAAATTAAATTTAAGACAATGTTTTTTTAATGATTCGTTAAGAAATATATTTACTTAATTCTTCTTAAAACAAAATTCTGGCAGTATATTCTAATCTAATTAACTCTGATGCGGAAAAAATAAATGTAGAAATGAAGAAAGACATCAAAAGTTTTTCTAATTATGCATTATTAATCTTTTTTCGACAGATAATAAATTAAAAATGTCTCTTTGATTTAATCAAATTTTATCATGAAGTACTTTTAGAAACATAGTTTTTTAAGACATTTTAGAAATTTTCAATGCATTTTTTCTTTTAATTTTTTTATTTATCGTGATAAAACTAAAAGGGGCTTCCGGAATAATCTAATTTCGTAAGAAATATTTAAGCATCCAATTTTACTTTAATGTAAACTAGTTTTCGTTACGCTAAAAATGCTTTCAATGATTTGTAATTTTACCTCATCTTTACAAACGGTTATTTTCTAAGATATATTGCTAAATGAAAATATAAATAGAGGTAATTTAAGATTACACGCATGATTAAATCAATAATTACTTATTTATTAAAAAAACCTAATTTCTTATTTTAAAAAAAGTCATACCTGGTATTTGTTGATAATATCTTAAGTACATAAAGTTAAAATAAATTATATTTTTTTATTTATAAAATTCTTTTTGTTAGAAGATTAAGTTCCTATGAGCTACATTTAATTTCATTGTGTGCGATATTAAAATAGAATTTAAGTAAGATCATTTGGCGTAACTTAATGGTTGAATAACTAGCATTTACTTTTGACACGTTGAAAGAAATTTTCTTTTGACTTACAAGAGAAGCTTACATGCATGAGAAGCTCAGAAGAATTGCATGTTGACTTAAAATTATGAAACATTCTACTTAGCAAGTTTATTTACATGAAAGTTTTATTAATGCTTTGCAAGTTTAATTAAATTATAGACTAGGACTTTGTAACTAGAATATATAAAGACTTGTATCTTTCAGCAACATTCTTTTTAATTTTTGTTTTTAATTTTTAACTTAATTTCTTTTTATTTTTTTTTAATTTTTGTTTTTAATTTTTAATTTAATTTATTTTTATTTGCTGTTTTTAATTTAATTTCTTTTTATTTTTCTTTAATTTTTGTTTATTAGCAAATTTAAGAAAGAAACTTTCACTTTTTAGGAATTAATTATTGTTTAGTTTTTATTTTTGCTTATTAGCAAAATTAATTTGTTTATAAGTAAATCTGTAATAGACGCAAGATGATGAAATAAAAATATCATCACTATGAGCTCAATATTTTTAATTATAAAATCACATTAAACATTTAACAATAAAGAGTAAAAAACATAACATTAACTAACAAAAAGAACTAGAAAGTTTTTACTCAAAATGAGTAGGAAAAGGGGAACCAGGATGGTTCACAGAGCTCGTCCTGCGTCATCTCATATTAAGTCAGAAAAAAGTAGTTGTTATCGTTTTTGGGATATGGAGGTAGCGCCATCTCGTGCTACAAATAAACTACCCGTTACAACCTCCCCCTCTGACTTCTTAGACGTCTCGGCAAGGAGTCAAGAACATTTTTATGTCGATTTAGAGCAGAAGGTGGAGATTTAGTTGGAATACCGGTAGCTACTTGAACATCTCGTTTGCGTTTTGGGCGCCCTCTTTTTCTCAAGGGAGTCACAGGAGTTATCTGATGTGCAACACGAAACTTATTCTGTTCTTGAAATGGGGTTAGGACTGATACATGATATTTGTCAAGCATCTTATCTGGTTCATTGGGATCAGCAATATCAAACGTTGTTGGAGATTTTATAGCGACAATGACGTAAGGACCATCTCTCTTTGGCATGAATTTACCAGTTTTCTTTAGATGCCCCTTGCTAACAGGATGGAGGCTAACCCAAACTTTGTCTCCAAGGTTGAATATAGGATTTTCTCGGCGTCTCATATCATCATATTTCTTTTGTTTATCCTGATGTTTCTCAACTCTCTCCTGAACTTGGTGTACAGTTCTGGCAAAACGTTTCAAATAAGGAGTTATTTCCGGAACGAAATTATCATTCTCAATAACTGCTTTTATGTCATGTTTAACATCATCAAGTGTTCGTAATTCTCGTGCAAATTGGAGAAAGGCGGCAGATTGTCCTGTTGATTCACATTCGGCTGTGTTTAAGGAAAACCTTATGAATGGCAACTTTTCTTTCCATGATTGATGGTTATTACCAACAAGTATGGCCAAACGAGTTTTTAAGTCTCTGTTCTTTCGTTCCACTGGGTTAGACTGAGGATGATAGATAGAAGTCAGGCATTGGTCAATATTCAGGATATAGCATAGCTGTTGCATGACAGCACTTGTAAACTGAGCACCGTTGTCACATTTCCTGGATCATTTTCCTGGGTAACCCAAATCGAAGTAAGACTTCTTCCATGAGAGTTGTGGCACACTCTCTGGCTGTTGCTTCCCTTAACGCAAATAGTTCTGTCCACTTTGTAGCATAGTTCTGGGCAATAAAAATTCATTTCTCACCAGTTGGTGTTTCTGGAAGAGGACCGAAAAGATCAATTGACAGAGTCTCAAAGCGTTGAGCATAAACAGGAGTTTGAAGTTAACCAGAAGGCTTTTGATTAGATGGCTTGTAGCGACAGCACTCAACGCAACTTTTAATATAGTCCGCTATATCTTTTCTCATTCCAACCCAGTAGTATCTTTTGGCGATGGTGAAATGTTCCTTCAGATCCAAAGTGACCTGACATTGGCGAATCGTGATATTCTTTAAGGATTTCTGTTTTTCTTTGTTGGGGTAAGACAAGTTGCGCCTCTTCTTCGTCTGAATCTGGCTAGTACCGGTATAGCACTCCTCTGTTCACGATATAACCACGGCCGGTCCAGGTGGCAAAGTCTACTGTTTTCTCAGGTTTCTCAAAAGCTTTAATGATTTTTCGAAGTTCATCATCTTCCAGCTGTGATTGACGTAATTCGGCTGGAGTAGTAGTGGGGATTTCAGTTGATACAGCATAGATTTGGCAGGAATCTGTACTTGAATGTTCACAAATGGGTTGAGAGAGCAAGTCAGCAATAAAGTTAGAACGTCCGGGAATGTAATTGATTTCCAGGTTGTAAGATTGGAATAGTAATGCTCATCTTGCGAGTCTACCGGTCGGTGACTTAAGCGTCATCAACCACTTCAATGGTTGGTGGTCAGAAGTGATTGCGATGGACTGGCCTTCAACGTACCCTCTAAACTTGCTAAGTGCCCACACTACTGCTTCTTTCTCTATAGTAGAGTAGTTTCGTTCTGGAGAGGTCAGCAATCGACTGGCATATTCTATGGGATGTTCTTCATTCTTTTCCCCTTGAAGCAACACTGCTCCAATAGCTACATTGCTAGCACCTGTCCGATTAACGAAAGGTTTTGTACCATCAGCTTGCTTAAGAATAGGAGGACTTGTTAATTTCATTTTTAGATCTTGGAAGGCATTCTCTTGTTCGGCCTCCCACTTCCACAATGCTTTCTTCTTTGTTGAATCCGTCAGGGGTTTAGCTATTTGCGAGAAATTTGGAATATAACGCCGATACCAGGAGCACGTCTGTACAAACGACTGTACCTGTTTGACAGTCTTTGGTGATGGCATGTCTGCTATGGCAGCAGTCTTCTGAGGATCGACAGATATTTAATTAAATAAACTATCAGTTTCGCTTAGATTCCAGTTTTCCACTAAAATATTAGGATAAAGATTTATAGAAAAAATACTAACTCTCTTTCAAAAAATACAGTTTTCTTATCGACGTATAATTATTTCAATTACATGAAATTTAAATTTCCAGTTATATTTTTATTGAACTCGTGTGATTACTCTTCAAAATATTTCTGCACCCATATTCTACGATACACTTTTAAGTGCATAAAATTTGTATTCATTTATATGGATACTGGAAGAGCCTTTCCAATGGTCAAAAATCTTTCGCAAATTTCAGAGTCAATTCATATAATTAAAAGTTTCAAATATGGCATTAAAATAATGTACAGAGCTTCTGCTGTAAATTAATGGGCTTCAATCGTAACTATAGAAATTGAGAAATGTTTTCCTCATATTATATATGATGTCATTACATATTATACATAATATATATACATATTATACAAATACATATTATATTATATTTATATATATAATATATACATAGTATATATATATATATACATATTATATCGTCATATCATAAACGATGAAAAAATAAGCAAATTATGCTGAGAATTATATTTTACTTCTGCATTTCTAAAGATTAAAATGATTTATGTCTAATGTTACCGGTGCACAGTAAACCAAAAAATAAATGTTAAAAAAATGCCGAGAATAATTATGGGTTTGATATAATCTAAAAGCTGATTTTATTGATTTAAAAGAATAGCCTCATCAGTTTTGAACGTTATAGAAATTGCGTTTTTCCGAATATAATTCCAAGTTGAACACAAAGTTTTATGATAAGATTGTTTATCGCTATTTTATTTACGAAGTGTAGAAAAATTTCAAATTGCGAAAGAATTAAAACAATTTTTTCGTTATAAACTATGAATGCTTAATGACAATATTCAAAATTTGAGCGAAATCGTTTTAAATTTCTATTTCTCGAAAACTTTTCGACCAATTTTGTTTTATTTTCCCTTAAAATTACATGGCTTAAAATAACATTAAGACTAGCAAGATATTTCGATCATTATTAAGTTAAATAATAAAACATAACAAAAAATTGCAAACAATTATTGAAAATTAATTTTGCATCGGGTTACCATTGGAGAAGAATATTTTATCCTTGGGTGTTAAAATTTTGGTTCACTGAAAAGGCTTTCCATTTTTTCTTTGACATGGTGAAATACGCGGAAAGGTAAAACATTAAAGAACTTAAATTTGAGACCTTTCTCCTGACTAAACGATTTGAACTATAATTTATTGGTTGCAGCTACCTCATCATGTTTCATAGAGCAAAAAGTAAGGAAAAATATAAATGCAAAATAAAACAAAATCTCACCAAAAAAAGGTGTGTACATTTTGTATCTGATTCTGTATTTTGATTAATGGTTAGAACTAATTAATAATATTTTAAATCCACCCTTTGAACCATTAATATTGGAATTTGGAACACAAAATATCCTTCGTTATAGAAAAAAAGTTATTCAAAGGTCATTTATTTCTTTGGCTCAATATATTAATTTATGTTAACCAAAATGTTTTATCAGGAAAACATTAATCATGAGAGTGCTTTCTTGTGAGAAAAGCGTGCAGCAATCTTGTTTTTGAATTTGAAACATTTTCTGATAATTTTATATAACTTAAATCAATTCAAACAAAAATCAGCAAATTAAAATAAGCAAATAAATTCCTATAACTAACAACCATTTTGAAAAAAACCACTTGAAAAAATTAAATCAAGCAGATATATCATATAAAAGCATGTAAATCATATATAGTATATCATATAACTCTTGAAACAAAAATTAATAGGCCTACTTGATTTAAAATAAATTTTCTTTCCTTTTTTATTAAGTTCTCACCACATAATTCAAAATTATGAAAATAACAATTCATTGCTTCAAGAGGTCTTATTTCCAATCTTTAGCAGAATTTCCAAATAGTTCATCCATGCAGAAGTATTTATTTAATTCTCAACTAAAATGATTCTCGCGTCCATCTTTCAGATGATGACGATTTACTTCTCCATGGCTTCTCATTTGATACTTATCCCTTATAAATCTCCCATCTACTTCCTGATGATTCTTATTCCTGATGAATTCTTAAGCCTTCTGAATGCTTTTTATATGATTTTGACAAACGCACTTCATTTTAAATCGACCAGTAAAAGGCTTTAAAGACTATCGAAGGGAATTTAAGAGAAAAATGAGTGCATTTATAATTCAAGTTCTATAAATCTTTGCTTGTTGTTAAGCATTTCTTTGAGCTTTATTTTGAAAAAATCTGTCGAGAGTTCTTATGAGAACAGAAATCATTGCTTTTATATTGTTATTTAATAGCATATTTCCTATTTCATTTGTATTTTTGGGAGAGTACTATAAGTATTGATGTTGTGCTGTGAAACATTCAGATAGCATCATCGTTATTTGTTCTAAAAATAATTATCCAATATGTATGTTTAAAATATCGTCGAGTAAAATTATATATTTAAACAAAATAAAATCAAGCTAAGTATAAATAGGAACAGGTTTTTAGGTCACCGTAGCATGTACTATATTGAGCGTAAAATCAAAATTATAGTTCTAAAAGTCGCCAAACAGGGAGTATCTGGTGTTCTAAATGGCGATAATTATCCGATACGTAAATTAAAATTAGCTTCGAATATAATTTTATATTCTAATAAAATTAGATCAAAGTAAGCATAAATAGCAATAAGTGTTTAGATCTCCGTAGCACATAGTACTAAAAGTCGCCGATCAGGGGAAATCTGGTGTTCAAAATGGCTATAGTATTGAGCCACACTTGTAAATAATAAAAAAATCATAATTTCGTTAATCATATAGTTATGGCTTATTTCTTCAGTTGACAAATATGTATCCACTAATTACACACATTGTGCTTGAAGTGCAATATGTAACCTTATTTTTGAATCTTGGTATAATAATTCTTCAAAGAAAATAAAACAGCATAGTCTGTCGATCATGTACACCACTTTTATTTTTTTATTTGTTTATTTAAGTATTTATTTTTATATATTTGAGTGTAATGTAGGTCGAAATGCTTTAGGTTAATTTTTGTATCTTGTGCTTAGTAAAAAATTTTATCACCTTAATAAATTTCGTTCTAAAGATTACTAAGATGCAAACTTATGGTTCGAGAGACCAAACATAAATATGCTAAAATATTTGTGCAGAAATCATTTTATTTTTAATATAATGTTTAATGTTTAAAGATGCATTTTTTTTTCTAAATAAACATGCATTTTCTGTGATGAATTCGGTTTCAAGACACTTAAAATATGAGAAGGGGGTTACCACAATCTGGAAAATGTAGTTTAAATAGTAAAGGCAGGAGAACGGTCGAAAGCTTGGCCCCCTCTATGTTAATTTCAATCTTTTCTACATCTTTGCAATTATTTACGAGAATATAGAAATTGTTGAGCACAATTGTAAAACTAGTTAGATCAAAGGTCATACAAAGTAAAAAATAACTTTTTTATATTTATATATAATTTTTATTATCTGAATTAATATTATGTTCGAAAACATTTTAAATTATAAGGTATGTAAATGAATATATAATTTTAATCTGCATAATTTTAACCTATAAAATCAAACATTTGATAGAATCGGTTAAATGGTGCTCGATAAATGA